CGTTGGGCCCCGGCGCCGGCCCGCGCAGGGCCCCTCTGCCGGCCCCCCCCCCCGCCCCGGGACCCCCGCGGTTATTTGCATATATGTAAATGCACAGTGTTTGGGTCGCTGCTCATTAGGCAGGGGCTGACGCCCAGCGCGGTCCCGGCGGAGCCCCCCCCGGGAGCACGGGCTCCCTGTGCCCCTGCCGTGTCCCCCCCGTGTCCCCCCCGCCCCGCACTCAGCTCCCGTCCCGTTCTCTCCAAGGATGATGTCGACGGAGAGCGCCAACAGCTTCACGCTGATCGGGGAGGCCTCGGATGGCGGCACCATGGAGAACCTCAGCCGCAGGCTGAAGGCAAGTTGTGCGGGGGCCGGTAGAGGCAGGTGGGGGCACGGGGGGTCCCGGTGCTTCCAGACACCCCACAGCACCAAACCCCAGGGGTCCCGGAGCCCCGCGGGTGAGTACATTGGTAAAATCCAAACTTCAGCTTCAAAGCAAGACTCGTCCTGCAGAGAGTGCCTTTTCAATCCCAGGAGTGCAAACCCCTCTGTCGAAAGCGGCCGCGGCTCCCCAAAAACTCAGTGGGGGGGGTCTCTTCCCGCAGGTCACAGGTGACCTCTTTGACATTATGTCGGGGCAGACGGACGTGGATCACCCTCTGTGCGAGGAGTGCACCGACACGCTGCTGGACCAGCTGGACACACAGCTCAACATCACCGAGAATGAGTGCCAGAACTACAAGTGAGTGACACCGAGGGGAGAGCTGGCCCTTGTCACCAGCCAGCGACAGTCCTGACTGCAGCACTTGGGCTTCCTGAATGAGATGAAAAATGTGTTTTTGAGAGTCATAGAATCATAGAATTGCCCAGGCTGGAAGGGACCTCCAAAGGCCATCTAGTCCGACCCCCCCGCAGTCAGCAGGGACACCCCCAACTAGACCAGGTTGCCCAGGGCCTCGTCGAGCCTCTCCTTGAATATCTCCAGGGAAGGGGCCTCAACCACCTCCCTGGGCAACCTGTTCCAGTGCTCCACCACCCTCACAGTGAAGAACCCTCTCCTCATCTCCAGTCTAAATCTGTTCCCCTCCAGCTTGAAGCCATTGCCCCTCGTCCTGTCACTGCAGGCCTTTCTAAACAGGCTCTCCCCAGCCTTCCTGTAGCCCCCCTCAGGTACTGGAAGACTGCTATTAGGTCTCCCCGGAGCCTCCTCTTCTCCAGGCTGAACAACCCCAGCTCCCTCAGCCTGTCCTTGGAGCAGAGGTGCTCCATCCCCCTGATCATCCTTGTGGCCCTCCTCTGGACCCTCTCCATCAGGTCCATGTCCTTCTTATATTGAGGGCTACAGCCCTGCACACAATACTCCAGGTGAGGTCTCACCAGAGCAGAGTAAAGTGGCAGAATCACCTCTCTGGACCTGCTGGCAACGCAGCTTTTGATGCAGCCCAGGATGGGATTGGCCTTCTGGGCTGCAAGTGCCCACTGCCTCCTCCTGTCCAGCTTCTCATCCACCAGCATTCCCAAGTCCCTTTCCTCAGGGCTGCTTTCTAACACCTCTGTACTGATGGTGAGGATTGTTCCAGCCCAGGTGCAGAACCTTGCACTTGTTCTTGTTGAACCTCATGAGGTTCACCTGGGCCCACCTCTGCAGCCTGTCCAGGTCCTTCTGGATGACATCCCATCCCTCTGGTGTATGGACACCAGCACACAGCTTGATGTCGTCCGTAAACTTGCTGATGGTGCCTTTAATCCCCCTGTCTATATCATTGATAAAAATGTTAAACAGTAAACGGCTGCTCCGGCTGCGTCCCTCAGAATGACTGATACCAGCCTGTGGCACCCGTGTGGCAGCACTCCCATGCGGGCGAGGGCTTCAGAGTGGTGGCTACTGGTGGGCAACAACAACCCTTGGTCACCCCTCGCTCCCCTACACATTCCTGGCTCGGTGTAGGATGGACGTGGAGAGCTGGGGGTTAACAAGGTGCACGTGAGAGCAGAGCCCCAGTCTGTGCTTCTGCTCCATGTGGGCTGTCACGGAACCTCATCCCTCTCCCACAGGAGGTGTCTGGAGATACTGGAGCAAATGAACGAGGATGACAAGGAGAAGCTGCAGACAGAACTGAAAGAGCTGGCGCTGGAGGAAGAGCAGCTGATTCAGGAGCTGGAGGACGTGGAGAAGAACCGCAAGATGGTGGCTGAAGACTTCGAGAGAGTGAGGGCAGAGGCGGAGCGGCTGGAGCAGGAAGAGGCTCAGTGAGTGAACTACAACCCCACATTATGGCAGGGATTTTAGGTAACAGATAAATGAGATCATAACCCAGAGAAACCTGCAAATAATCCCCAATGCAACTGGCTTGTTCTTTGCAACACAGACCAAAAAAGCCCATGTACCGTGTGAGCGATGGCTTTTCTGTAAAAACCTGCACGTAGCATTTCTCCTCTTGCTTTTGTTACAAGGTACCAGAAAGAATACTGCGAATTCAAGAGGCAACAGCTGGAGCTAGATGACGAGCTGAAAAGCGTGGACAACCAGATGCGCTACGCCCAGATGCAGCTGGATAAATTAAAGAAAACCAACGTGTTCAACGCAACCTTTCACATCTGGTAACGGAGAGGCTGGGAACTGCCTCGGTTCGCTGGGAATCCGCGGCACGGGAGCATTCAGGGAATGCTGAGTTTGGGAGGAGGGGTGCAGCCAAGTCATAGTTACCCACAGCAAAGCTGCTGGTGATGGCTCCTGGCAGCTCCCACTGGGAGAGATCCGTGACGCTGCCCAGGTGTAACTGAAACGGGTCCATCACTAACACTGTTAACGATCCGGGACCCACTGCGCAGAGATTCACAGAGCAGGTAGCTCAGAGGGCTGGGGGTTTGGTTTGGTGGGTTGGTTGGTTGTTTTTAAATTAACTCTGTCATAAAAAGAGAACGACGGGTTGGTATTTAATAGAGACTTTTTAACCAGAGCCCCCAAGCCAGCCCTGCTGCCTGGTGAGCAGTGTGCTCCGCGCTCGTTAGCACAGGGCCCTTGTTTGGTTTGAGTGCTAGAGGCTGCTCCTGCCCCTGTGTGCTTATTTATAATTCCTCTTATCTCAGGCACAGCGGGCAGTTCGGCACGATAAATAACTTCAGACTTGGCCGCCTCCCCAGCGTTCCCGTGGAGTGGAACGAGATCAACGCTGCCTGGGGGCAGACGGTGCTGCTGCTGCACGCCCTGGCCAACAAAATGGGCCTCAAGTTCCAAAGGTACACGCAACACAACGCACAGCTCGCTTGTCAGCTGGATAAAAGACAGTCAGGCTCATCTGCCTGTGAATCACATCTCCTTTCAGATACCGTCTGGTACCCTACGGCAACCACTCCTACCTGGAGTCCCTCACGGACAAATCCAAGGTAAGAGACCCTGCACAAAAGGGAGGCTGTTGACCTTGAATGTCACAGAGCCCTGGTCACGCTGGGGAGGCAGAAGACAAACTCAGCTCTTCTGGAATGTATCATAGAATCATAGAATCATTCAGGTTGGAAGAGACCCTTGGGATCATCGAGTCCAACCATCTCCCCTACTCTGCAAAGTCCTCCCCTACACCATGTCCCTCAGCACTGCATCTAAACGGCCCTTAAACACATCCAGGGATGGGGACTCCACCCCCTCCCTGGGCAGCCTGTTCCAATGCCCGACCACTCTTTGGGTGAAAAATTCCTTCCTAATGTTCAATCTAAACCTCCCCTGTTGGAGCTTGAAGCCGTTCCCTCTCGTTCTGTCACTAATTACCTGTGAGAAGAGACCAGCCCCAACCTCTCTACAGTGTCCTTTCACGAAGTTGTAGAGAGTGATGAGGTCTCCCCTCAGCCTCCTCTTCCTCAAACTAAACAGTCCCAACTCCCTCAGCCGCTCCTCATACGATTTGTTTTCCAGCCCCCTCACCAGCTTCGTTGCCCTCCTCTGCACTCGCTCCAGCATGGAGCTGTATGGAACAGGAATGTATGTATGGAACAGGAGCTGCCCTGACTTCTCCAACATACCAGCATCTCACTCTGTACCTTGTCAGGCCACTCGCTCCCCATCCAGTAGCATTAAAACCAACGGGACTCCAGACCTACACCCCGTGGCCAGAGGAAGGTGGTATCACTGGGGTGATGGTCGGTGAGCAGGAACCCACATCTGCAAGCAGCAGGCACTCGCCACAAAACAAGTCACACTTCTGCTGTGCCACAAACCATTTCTAGGCATCCTCTGACAAATTTAAGCCTTGCGCAAGACTGAAGAGCTGCCATGACCTTATCTGAGATGGAGTGCTCGGGGGGCCTGAAACCAGTCTCTTTTCCAGGAGCTCCCCCTGTATTGCTCTGGAGGCCTGAGGTTCTTCTGGGACAATAAGTTCGACCACGCGATGGTGGCTTTCCTGGACTGCGTGCAGCAATTTAAAGAGGAAGTGGAAAAAGGTGAAACTCGGTTTTGTTTGCCTTACAGGTGAGTGCTGCTTGTGTAACGTGTCAAATCAACACCTCCCCTGGACCAGCTGACAGCACTGTCCTCCTGCAACCATCCCCTCTTCCTTATAACGCACGGGATTGTTCTTAGTTTAAGTGAAATTTAAAACTAGAGCCTCAGGCGTGGACCTGAGACTTGCTAGATTTCTGTTAAACACAAAGTATTCTTACATAGAAAAATACGAACGCCAGATTTAAATTGTAGTACTTGATATCATATTGAGGTTAAATGCTTGCCATAATAATGCACTAATAAAACTTTGTGTGTGATACAGGATGGACGTGGAGAAAGGAAAGATTGAAGATACGGGTGGCAGTGGTGGCTCTTACTCTATTAAAACACAGTTTAACTCTGAAGAGCAATGGACAAAAGCCCTAAAATTCATGCTGACAAACCTGAAGTGGGGTCTGGCCTGGGTCTCATCCCAGTTCTACAACAAGTAACCATGTAAAGAACTCGTCCTGGCAGGTGCAGAGCGTCTGCCTTTCGTTGGAGAAAGTCAAATTAAGATGTCTCTTAATATTAACCAGTACAAAATGTTTACAATACCAAAAATCCACAAGACACTTTATTTAAAATACCATTATTACAAGTAGTATATGTAAAAGCAATATGTAAAGTTGTATCACTGAGCTGAACAGAATAAAAAAAAAATAATCAGCTACTGAATAGATGCTAAACTGGTACTTTTGGGGTTCATAGATATGTGCATAAATTAGCATCAAACTTCAAAACACCAGCAAGTTTGAGACTACTCTGGTCTATTACACAGGGGTTAGAAAAGCAAAATGTTATGAACAGAGGGAATAACGTGAAAGAACTCATGGAAACTCTGCTTGGTCGTTAAAGGGTAACTACAGCTTGAAATAAAGTATTTTCTAAGTCGTATCAGCACTTCTTTGTGCCACTGAACTTCCCAAGGTTTGGTGGTGGTCAAAATCTCGTTAACTCTGATGCCATCTACTCTGTGTGATACTTCCTGCAGCCTGTTCTCACACAGAGGTGCGTTGAGTAAATAATAAAATGCTATTCTACACCAAGAGTGCTCTCATCTGGCATACACCTGGCACAGCACAGGCACCCCCTGGCACCTACAGGATGTGCCAGAGACACACCTGCTGTTGTCACAACAATTGCAATCACTTTCAAAATGGGTGGGATTCTGTCCCTTTCACAGCTCAGCTGTTGGCTCTCTTGAGGCCCAGGCAAACAGGGAGCACGCTAAAAGCATCCAGGCTGCCCCAGACAATCGTTAATTTTTTAAAAAGCAGCAAGTGGAGAAAAAGTACAGCCTGTTTGTAATGGCTGGGCCTGTGAGCTGCCTCCAGCGATAGCAGCTGCCGAGCAGAACCCCGTGCACGTTATTCTCAAAACATGACTCTTCTTAGGGATTTCCCTTTATTCAAAGCAAACATATTCATAACTGAAACACGTAGCTCTTACAATAAATCTTTTAGTGCTGAAAGAGGTTATTTCTAAATGCTACTTAGCCCCTCTGTGCCCCCCTTCACAGCACTGCCTGAAAGGGCAAGCTTTTCTAATTAACACCTAACACACAAAATGTTACAGAACAGTTGGTGTTCAGAACCAAAAGTAGAACTAAATTGCATTGGGTGCCCTCTGCAGAACCCCAGAGGAGGGACCATTATCAGCAGCCTAACAGTTTGCTGCTGATACACTAAGGACTGGCCACAGCAGATAGTGCTATTTATTTAAGAGGCAGAATTCTGTTCTCTGGGACTTTTGTTCTGCTGTTCCCATAGTGCTGCTCCGGAGTGGGGCTGCCAACAATGTGTTTCAGCACTGCGTAAGAAAATTCTAAGATACTTTGTGAGGTAATGCCAGTGATACAGTTCAAATGCTCCACAACCTTAAAAAAAAAATAATTTAGATAGATACTTAAAGTGCCTAAGAGACATTAGTTTGCAAACATACTTCTTAATCCTCCAAATTTAATGAGAATAACAGTGCTCCATGTGTGTACTTCAACAACAGTGGAGGCCTCTCGGTATGGTTTTTATTTGGTTGGGGTTTTGTTTGCTTGCTTGGGGCTTTGTTTGTGCCTTTTTTTTTTAAAAAATTTAATTGCTTTTACTAAAGAAGTAAAATGAAAAAGTTTTTTGAATTGTTACAGTATTCAGCAGCAGTTTGGGCACACTGTCCCATGGGATTGCTTCTCTGTCAATGAAAGGCTGCTGGGGGGCTCTTCTGGCTGTGAGGAACCCGAGGCACGAGGATAAGTTCACACTGGTGTGAGCCTGAGCCCTCCTGCACAACTACCCACACACCCCCAAAACACTCTTTACAACATGCGCTTCCTGCTCAAAAACCTGACAGATGTCACCCCCCTCGTGCTGCTCCCGGGAGTCTCTACCTGTCTTCTTGCTCTGCTTAACCCTACAAACAACTTCATGTAGAATTAAAGTGTTTAGAAGTGATTGTACCTGCTTCCAGTGCTCAGGGTTCAGTATGAACACGCTTGTGCTGATGATTCCAACAGCCAAGAGCATGAAATCTTCCTTTACGGTCAAAAACTTTGCTCTGCAAAAGTAAAAACATCTTCTGGTGTAAAATGATGCCAGTTTTAGAGTTAAAAAGCACCTACTCCTGTGGCTATACAGCCCACGGATGGGTTAGCTTATTCAGCCCAAATAAAGCCTGAGACTTTTAACTTTAGCTGACAGTGCTAAAGCTGGGTTTTTACAATTCAGTTAAACACTTTCCTAGCTTACCCCTAAAGCAGATGTGGTGAGGCCCGTTCCTTTGAACTGCTGTATTAAGATCAATCAACAATGCTGAAAGACCCCCAAATTAAATTATTTTAAAAGATGCCCCTAAAAATGGCACACTGAGAATTACACTGCTGTTTCTTAGGAGGTTTTAGGGACTTAATTTCAACTAGTTATTTTAGGCCATAGCCACCATAAGCTACTTACACCTGCAGTTTGCTCGGTGTGGAATTCTCAATGGCAACTTTCAACAACGTGTCGTAGATGGAATCCCTGGTAAGGTAGGAGAAGTCCAGGAGCTGCAAACACATCTTATGCAAGGGCTTTGCAGGAAGCAGGAAGCCGTTGTGTCCTGGCACAGAGATCACAGATCATCAGCCGTACGTTTTGAGTCATTACACCCAGTTGGACAGAAGCATTAGTTACTGTCAGCAAGTCATGCAAATTTCTGGTGACAGCAGCCCTCTGTCTCCAAACACCATGGGTCTTCCTCAACGTCAGTACAATTTCACTCATTCTGAAACTCAGGTTGTCAAACCCGGGCAAAGAAAACTTTAAGTCACTGTAGAAAACGTGGCCTTACACTAGATTTTGGGGGGTTTAAACTCTTTTAATGAACAAGTCACGACGGACTCTCCAACAACATCCATCAGATTCTAAGGACAAAGTTCTCATCTGAAAAGTAAAGCTCTGGACAATCTGAAGTTTCATGTGCCTTCACAGAACACAGAAATCTGTAATATGAGACATTCTGGTTCAGACCGGTAATAGCCCTACTACACTCTTAAAAATCTTTTTCCCATTCTCTCCTATTAACACTCTTACCTAAAACCTCAAGAAGCAACTCCACGTAAGCCAAGGGAGTTGACACGTTGATCTGGAAGTGCAGACTTTTTAAAACGGCGAGTTCCGACTCCAGCAATTCCTGTTTAGTGTATGAGTATTTTAAGGATTGTAGAAATTTTAAAGCTGTGTCACTGTTAACTATCTAAAGAGGAAAAAAAAAAGAGACAATAGGCAATAAGGAACTTGCTGAGAACAAAGTACTTCTTGCCTTACCCCTCCCACTGAATTTAAGCGTGAGCCCCCGTGGGGGGGATGCTGCCCACTAACCCCTTAATCCAACTCGGCCTTTAAGCTGGGATGAGAAATCCCACAGGTTTCCCCCACTCCACAAACCTTCCCCAGACAGGACTGAACCTGCTGCAGCCACACAATTGTTGACAACCACAGGCTGAGTTTTCCCACTGCCTGCATTTATTCCCCATACTGGGAACATTTTCTGACAAGTTGCCACTGGATGAGGGACAATTAACCTGCCCTAAATGGAAAAGATTCAGGTCTCCATTTCAATATCCTTTGCGTTTCGTTATCACTAGTGTCTTCCAGAGAAGAAAGCTTTTCTTCAAGCGAGATTAATACACCAGATAATTTCCTACACTGCTAAGAAAATGCTACAGGACAAGGTTTAGCTGGCTTACATTATAGTGTAAGGAAAGTTTGCTCGCAAGCTGAATGCACGACACAAGTCGCAGGACAAACGTGTCATATATCTGATCTTTCAGAGAGCTCCTGCTGCTGCCTTGTCCTTGTTCACAACTTTTAACGTTTTCTCTTGAGGACTCATAAATTTGTTCTAGTTGCTTGATCATAAACCTACAAAAACCACAATTGCTCAGAAAACGGCTCTCTTCTGCTAAGAAAAAGGAAGAAAAACAATTCTGCATGTACTCAGAATACATGCATAGCTGCTAATTTGAATTAAACGAGCAAAGAGACAAGATTCCACACAGGCAAAAAAACCCAATATATATTGTTTGAATGGGTGGTATAGAGCATGCACAGCGTGACCAGGTGAGAGAAATGAGAAATGCACTGAGCATTTGGGATATGTATTACCTTTCAAGTAACTCCACCGCTTGGTACCTTGTCGACTGGTCCAAGTGCCATTTTTCAGACAAAAGGAATATAAATTCTGCAAAAGAGCGTAACACTCACTCACTTCAGTCAACTGATGCTAATTACACAGCCGTTAACTGCCTCAGGAGTTAGCTGTAGCTAAGAAAAAGAGCCTCACCCACTGTCCGTGTCTCTTTGAAGCATCCGGCCTGATCCGACAGCTCGCTCAGGTACTGCTCGTTCTCTGTGGCCAGCTGGATCAGCATGTCCTCGATAACCTCCGGAGCCACCTCACCAAAGATGGGGTTCGGGTCGCAGTACCGGGATGCTGCTCGTGCCTGAGACCCCATTTAGCCCTTCAGGCCAGAGGCCTTTACGACAATAATTACTCCAGGGGCAGCACGGCGCTTCCTCACCTCCGGCAGGACAGGGCCCCAGGAGTCCCCGCAGTGCTAGGCCTCGGGGTCCGAGGGGCTACAACCCCTCAGCAGTGAGGCTGCTGTCAGGAAGGGGCCTGCACTCGCTGCCCGTCCTCCGATGGGGCAGGCCCCCCCACCGCCCCCCTACAGGACCCGGACCCGGACCCGCCGCCGCCGGGTCTGTGAGGGGAGCTCGCGCCCCACCTCAGCGCCTTCTGGTCACGGGACCCCTCTCCACCAATCAGAGCGCGTCTCCTGGGCGGCCAAGCCGCGCGCCGAGCCCCAGCCAATCACTCGACGCCCCTCTCTCACTGCGCCTGCGTGACACGAACTTGCCTCGCCCGCCCCCTTCCGATTGGTCGGCCTCCCTGCCGGATGTGACGTCGCCGCGCGGAGCGGAAGTGGCGGGTAGGGAAGATGGCGGCGCCGGGGGAGCAGGGCGGAGAGGCCGCGTTCGCCCGGCGCATCGACCCTGCGCGGGAGCCGGGGCTCAGCCCCGAGCAGCGCCAGCTCATGGCGCAGGTGGAGCGCGCCCAGCGCTATCGAGCCCTGCAGCGGCGGCTCCGCAGCCGCAACACGCTGATGGCGCTCGGTATCGGCGCGGTGGTGTTTGGCATCTGTATCCTCCGTGCCGGGGGAGGGGCGTGAGGGGAACGGGGCGGGGGAGGCCGCGCTGGGGCTTCTCCCGCTGTTTTCCTTAACACAGCCCCCCCCCAGACGGGTACACCTTCTACTCGGTGTCGCAGGAACGGTTCCTGGATGAGCTGGAGCAGGAGGCGGCGGCGGCGCGGGCGCGGGCACAGGCGCGGGCCGAGAGCGCGGCGAGCTGAGCGGGGAGCGGCCCGGCCCGGCCCCGGTAAAGCCCACGAGCGAGCTGCAGCCCCCGCGGGGCGGGACGGGCCTCAAGCACTGGGGAATCGCCCGGCCCTGAGCGCGGGGCAGCCGCCCTTGCGGGGCTCTGGGCCTGCTCAGTGCGGTCCCGGGGGATGCACGGGGGGGCTCCCCTGCAGGCAGGGCTTCCTCCCCTGCAGGCAGCCACCTTTCTCCTGAAGAGCAGACAGGGATTTGGCCAGGGACTTGCTCCTGGGAAGGGCAAGGGTGCCCAGGTGCCTGTCCCTTTCCATAATAAATACCTTGTCTGGAGCCCCTTCCCTTTCCACAATAAATATCTTGTCTGGAGCCCCTGTCAGCGCCTGTTGTTAAAGCAGCTCAGGATCAGCAGGTCCAGAGAGGTGGAGTATTGTGTGCAGGTCTGGAGCCCTCAATATAAGAAGGACATGGACCTGATGGAGAGGGTCCAGAGGAGGGCCACAAGGATGATCAGGGGGATGGAGCACCTCTGCTCCAAGGACAGGCTGAGGGAGCTGGGGTTGTTCAGCCTGGAGAAGAGGAGGCTCCGGGGAGACCTAATAGCAGCCTTCCAGTACCTGAGGGGGCTACAGGAAGGCTGGGGAGAGCCTGTTTAGAAAGGGCTGCAGTGACAGGACGAGGGGCAATGGCTTCAAGCTGGAGGGGAACAGATTTAGACTGGAGATGAGGAGAGGGTTCTTCACTGTGAGGGTGGTGGAGCACTGGGACAGGTTGCCCAGGGAGGTGGTTGAGGCCCCATCCCTGGAGATATTCAAGGAGAGGCTCGACGAGGCCCTGGGCAACCTGGTCTAGTTGGGGGTGTCCCTGCTGACTGTGGGGGGGTCGGACTAGATGGCCTTTGGAGGTCCCTTCCAGCCTGGGCAATTCTATGATTCTATGATCTTCCCACCCACTCAGGTCTCTGCCGAGATGGGGGAATTTTCTGTTTTATCGTGAGCCAACGGCAAAGGATGGTGTTGCGCATCCCACTGAACACACACAAGCCAGAGCCCTTTTGTATTTAATTTGTATTTATGAAAACACTTTCCAGGCATCAGTTTGTAACAAAGTGCACCCACTGCCCTTCCAGCTGCACCGGCCCCATTGCCTGACAGGGCCCGGGGCTCCGCGGCGGCTCCATCTCCCTGCACAGAGAGGGGTGAGGGCGGCAGCGAGGGCAGCCCCGGGGCGGCGGGTCGGGCCCCACGCAGGGAGTGGGGCTGGAGGATGGTGTGGTGGCAGGGTGGGGACGGATCGTGACAGGGGTGGGGGTGTATCATGACAGGGGTGTGGAGAGAGGCTGGTTCTGCTGAGGGCAGGGTGATGGCTGCGTGGGTTCAGCTCGGATAAAGCCATAGAAGATGGTGGCACCTCGCAGGCATCCTGCAGCTCGGGCAGCAAAGGGGCTGGGAACAGCAGGAAGGGACTCGGGGGGCACAAGGAGGGAGGGGATGGGAGGACAAGCGTAGGACGGGCCTGTCTTCCTGCTGACAGAGGCACAGAGGCAAGAAGGGGGGCGCCGGGCTCCTGGGGGGGCACCCAGCTGGCTCGTCCGAGGGTGCTGGCTGCCCCCCGGCCTGGCACTGCCCTCTCAGGGGATGCAGGGGCTCTTGCCCACTCCTGGGGCAGCAGGCACTTGGTTGAGGTAGTTCATGAAGTTACTCCTGGCCAGCTGGCTACTGGAGAGAGAAGCAGCAGTGAGCTGGGGCCCGCTGGGAGCCCTGTGGGGCCACCGGGAGCAGGATCAGCCCCCCCATCCCTTACCATCCGGCCAAAGTCGTCGGCGAAGGTCACCCCCTTGCTGAGGCGCTGCTCCTGCGAGCCCGTGCTGCTGCCGCTCAGCGAGTTACGGCGCATGATCCCTGCTGGGAAAGACCAGTCCTGAGTGGGGAGCACTGGTGGGGGCAGAGAGCTGTGCCCCACGCAGGCCTGACCCCCTCCAGCCCCAGGGGTCCTGCACCCCCCACCCACCCCACGGGGCCCAGGAAAGAGGGGGGCGGTGGGGTTGGCACCTGTCCCTGTCCTGCACCCCCTGCCCAGCCCACGGGGCCCAGGAGAGAGGTGGATGGTGGGGTTGGCACCTGTCCCCGTCCTGCACCCCCCACCCAGCCCACGGGGCCCAGGAGGGAGGGGGGCGGTGGGGTTGGCACCTGTCCCCGTCCTGCACCCCCTGCCTACCCCACGGGGCCCAGGATGGAGGGGGGTGGTGGGGTTGGCACCTGGGGGCTGTGCCAGCTCCAGGCGCTGGAGGCTGTTGCGGCGGGAGGGGTTGAAGCTGCCCTTGGAGAGGCGGCGCTGGCGGCTGGAGAGCATGGCGGCCGGGGAGACGATGCCCAGCGGCGGCTGCTTCCCCATCCGCAGGTAGAGCTCCTCGATCTCCTTCTTCTGGGTGCTCTGCAGCAGCTGCACCTCGGCCAGGTGCCTGGGGAGAGGAAAAGAGGGGGCTGCAGCCATGCCAGGGCTCTGGGGAGGGGGCAACGTCCCCCACGCTGGGGCAGGGGGGAAGGTCTGTCCCCTCCTGCAGCCCCCCACCCCGTCCTCCCTCTTGCAGTGGAGCTGCTCACTTCTGGCGCAGGTTCTGCAGCTCCTCCCAGATCTCCTCATCCTCGCTCTCAGTGTCATCACTGCTCAGGTAGGACAAGCTGCGGGAGTAGTTGAGCCACACCTGGCTCAGCACGGCCTGGGGGGCGCTCTCCGTGCCCTCCTCCCCGCCGCCCTCCCGGTCACTCTCCGCCGGTGCCACCGTCCCCTCCTCAGCCTCGGCGTCCTGCTGCACCGGCTCCAGCGCCGAGTCTGAGTCGCTGCTGGAGCTGCTCTGGGTGTCGGGGGCCGCGGGCAGGGGGGTGCCGCTCGCTGCCGGCTCCGCGCCGCACTGCTCACCCTCGCTGCTGCCCCCGCTGCTGCCCCCGCTGCTGCCCGGCTCCGGGGAGGTCACCACCGGGTCCCGGATTGGCATCACTTGGAACCGGCCCAGGATCTGTGGCTTGGCTTCTGCTGGGGACAGGGGGCAGCTGGTGGGGTTTGGGGCACGTGGGCTGGCGGGGAAACGTGGCGGTGCCCTGGCACAGACATGGCCGAGCGGGCGGGCACAGCCTCGGCCCTTCCCCACCTCACCTTCCTTGATGGGCGAGAGCTGGGCCTTGGGCACGCTGGGTGCTGGTGACTCTGAGATGATGAGGGGGTGGCTGGGTCTGGGGGAGCCGGGTGGCACCTGCAGGCATCCAAGCACCATAAGACACCCCACCCTGGGTCCCCCCACATCTCCTACCCCTCTCAGCTGCTCCCATGCCCCAGGACTCACCAGCTTTCCCCCGCATCGCAGGGGCTCCCCGCCCCATGGGGCTCCCTGTCCCACCCCAGGGCAGCGTCTGCAGTGACAACCTGACCCCCCCCAGCACGAGGTCCCACCTAAAGCTGTCTTGGGGAGCCCCTGCCACCCCCGTACTCACCGTGCTGCCCTCTGGGCTCCCCAGGGTGGACGTGGTCAGCAATGGCAGGGGACTCCCCGTGGCCTCACTGCTTGTGGGGCACGGTGGGGCCGGTGCCGGGGGAGGGAATGGCACTGGCCCCCTGGCAGTGGGGACATTGGCCCCCACTGACTGCAGGGTCCCACCAGAGGCTGGGGCTGGCTTGGCCATGCTGGCAGGGTCAGGGTAGACAAAGCGTGGGGGCCCCAGGACGAGGTTCTGCGGCCGCGGCAGCAGCGGGGGGTAGAAGTGCCCGCCTGAGCTGGCGATGGAGGAGACGGCAGGCAGCAGTGTGTGTGCCACGCTCATCACTGCCAGGGAGAAGACATTGGCCAGGGACAGGAGGGGGGCAGTGGGGGACCAGGGTGCGCTGGTCACAGGGGGACTCAGGGGGCTGCTGGGCCCACTGGGCACAGGGGATGTGGGGAGCGGTAGCGGGGACAGGAGGGCTTGGGGCAGGGCCGGTGGGACAGGTGCCCCCGGGGTGCTCGGGGGGGTCTGTGGGAGCACTGGGAGCACTGGTGATGCTGGTAGCCAAGAGGGAGCTGTCGAGACGAGGGGCCAGGTCTGGACAGAGCCTGTAGAGACAGAAATGTCAGGAGCAGCCCCTCCGTGAGCCCCCTCTGCCCCCCACCCAGGCAGCTCCAAGCCCCGTCCTGGCGAGGGACTGGCCAAGGCATGGTGGCTGTGGCTGGCAGCCCCGTAGGGACAGAGGTGCCAGGGTTGGTACCTGCAGGGGAGCCCGGCAGCATCGGCCGCAGCTCCCGGGCTGGAGCTGCCGGTGTCCCCGTGGGGCTGGCACCGTCGTTCTCCGACGCGGAGCTGCTCAGCGACGGCAGGACGGGCGACTGGACCGAGAGGCTGGGACTGGTGCAGCCCAGGTCTGCGGCACAGGGGTAGGAGCAGACGCTCAGCTGAGGTAGGACGTGCCCCACAGGACCCCCTGGGCTCAGCCGGGGCTGTCACCTGCCCTGCATGGGGCTGGGGGGGGGCTACAGAGGGGCAGGGACGTACCACTGAGCGAGGATGAGGAGGAGATGGAACGAGAGAGCTCCTGCAGCTGCAGATCCGCCTGTGGAGGGGACATGGCTGAGCCCAGCGCCGGGGCAGAGACCCCAAACAGGCTGAGCCAAGCCCCCCTGACCAGCCCCACCATGTGCAGGGACAGGAGCCATTGGCTCTGCCGAGCCAAGGGGACACCACTTCACAGGAGGGGGCAAACAACGTGGAGCCACAGGCACAGGGATGGAGGACACTGCTCCCTGTCCCCCTCCCCACTGGGCTCCCTGGGACTGGCAGCACCCCCAGCCGTGCTCAGCATCGAGAGCTGCCCCGGGGTTGTCGGGGCCAGGGTGGGCACTCACAGGGCTCCCCACGCCACGCTCGGCCTCAGGGCTCTCGGGCAGCTCGGTGGTGCTGTGGCCGTCCTTGTGCAGCAGGGTCTGCACGCGGTGGATGATGTCCCGGATGCGGTGGATGAAGCCGTCCCGCTCCGACTTGAGGATGAACTCGTTGTGGACCTGGAGGTGGAGGGACCGGTCAGCACCCGGCACGGCGGGCAGCCCCCCCTCACTGCCCCCCCAGCCCACGCTCACCATGACGGCCGCGATTTCCTCCGGGTTGTCCCCATCCAGATCGAACTTGAAGGTGACCATCTTGTTGTTGTAGGTCTGCAGCTGGCACTCCACCACCCGGTCGTTCTTGTCGGAGATCTGAGGGTGGCAGGGCTGGTCAGTCCAGGGAGCCCCCCACCTGCCCTCCTGCCCACCCACCACCCACAGCACTCACGTTGGTGATGCGCAGCCGGGACCGGGCTCGGCGCCGCAGCAGCTTCCCCGAGGCTCTCTTGGGTGGCAGCTCGGTGCCCCGCTCGCTGGCCGAGAGCCCCTCGTAGCCATCACTCATGCCAGATGCCACGTCCGAGGCATAGCTGCAGGAAGCCCCAGTGCCAGACCATCAGTGCAGCCCGTTCCCCACTGCGCTCCCCCCCCCAGCCCCTGCCCGACCCCCACAGCCTGACCTGTCCACCGGGGAGGAGAAGCCGCTGGCGGGGGGAAGGCGCTCGGTGGGCAGCTGCACCGCGATGCTCTGTGGGGAGAGGATGGGGTGAGCTGGTGCCATGGCTGCCGTGACCCCCCCCAGCCCCGTGGGACCCTGCTCACCGTGGGGAAGCAGCGTGCAGGACGGGCGGGGGGCGGGCTGGTGGGGTCCCCCGCCGAGAAGCTGCGATGGACCGGGGCTGGGGAGTCCAGGAAGCCAGAGGAGCTCAGGTAGCCATCCGTCTCGCAGTCGGCTGCGGGGAAAGAGCTCACATAGAATCATAGAATCGTCTAGGTTGGAAGAGACCCTGGGGATCATCGAGTCCAACCATCTCCCCTACTCTACAAAGTCTTCCCTTACACCATGTCCCTCAGCACTGCATCTAAACGGCCCTTAAACACAGCCAGGGATGGGGACTCCGCCCCCTCCCTGGGCAGCCTGTTCCAATGCCCGACCACTCTTTCGGTGAAAAATTCCTTCCTAATGTTCAATCTAAACCTCCCCTGTTGGAGCTTGAAGCCGTTCCCTCTCGTTCTGTCACTAATTACCTGTGAGAAGAGACCAGCACCAACCTCTCTACAGTGTCCTTGCACGTAGTTTTAGAGAGTGATGAGGTCTCCCCTCAGCCTCCTCTTCCTCACACTAAACAGCCCCAACTCCCTCAGCCGCTCCTCATATGATTTGTTTTCCAGCCCCCTCACCAGCTTCGTTGCCCTCCTCTGCACTCGCTCCAGCACCTCGAGATCTCTCTTGGATTGAGGTGCCCAAAACACATAAGCACAGACAGAGATGGAGCCCCCTCCCCTGCTTCCACCCCCAGGAAATGGCTTTGGGATTGGGTGTGTGGGCACAGCTGGAGGTGGGGAAGGACCCCCTGCCCACCTCCCACCCCATGTCACCCTGCTGTCCCCCTGCCCAGCACCCACGCACAGGTGGCTGAGGAGTAGCTGGTGTGCCGGTAGGCGAAGTGCTGGTCGGCCTCGGGTTCCTCAGGCTCCGGGGGGAAGGTGCTGCTGAAGACGGAATCCCCGGAGCCGGGGGTGGCCGTGGTGGGGGCAGGAGCACCGGGTGGCAGTGGGGACTTGAGCTCCTCCAGCAGCCGCAGGACGCCCGGTGGCTGCTCCGGCTCCGCAGGTGATGGCACATCCTGGGCACGCTTCAGCTTCTCCCGCTTGCGCTTGATGGCAACCACGCGGTCCCGCACCGCCTTGGCCACCAGCTTGTAGTCAGCCTCGCAGACAAAGCCCAGGACCACCTGCATGGGAGGGGGCTCGTCACATCGGGCACTGTGACCCCCAGGCACCCAGGGTCCCTCTGTCCTTGCACCCACCATCTCCTGGGCCACCTCCTCCGCCACGTCCTTGTAGAGCTCGAAGAGGAACTCGATGGCGTTGTTGTCCTTGTACTTGCCGTGCAGCTTCTTCGTGTCGTCCATGCGCAGCCAGAGCTTGAGCCCAGACTTGACGCCGTCGTCTTCCTCAGCCAGCTCCACGTGCACCCCCGTGTCCTCCTGGAAGAAGGAGTGCTCCAGCAGGTCCTGGATGGTGTACCTGCGGGGAGCAGGGCTCAGCGCGGGGCCGGGGGCCAGAGGGTGCTCTGCCTCCCAGGCCCCCACTCTCCCCCACCTCTCGTTCTTGTCCATGCGGATGCAGCCCTCGATGATCTCCTTCAGCTCCGGAACCTTCACCTTGTAGAAGCTGCTGGGCTTCAGGCCCTGGGGGTGACACCATCAATGTCTCCTGTGCTGGATCCTGCAGCAGCACCTGGTTCCCAGGGCCTGGGGCTGAACCCCGGCTCCGTGGAGCCACCAGACCCTCCCTGGGCAGCTGCAGCCCCACAGCCCCCGGTGTCCCCACCACAGCCTCTCTGGTAGTGGGGGACACGTGGGGACAAGGGTCCCAGGCCAGGGCCCCACTGGCCGGCCATGGCTCCTGCAGCCAGTCCATGTGTCCTGCACAGGAACTCATGCCAGGAGGCCCTGGGGCTCCAAGTTTCCACCCCAGTGGGCAGGAGGCGGCCAGGACTGGCCAGGGCAGCCACAGTGCCCCAGGCAGGGGGTGACCGAGCCACCCGGTCCCGTTCCACCCCATTAACGCACTGGCAGCGCATGGCATGGGGCGAGGGACACAGGGTCTGGCCAAACCATGTCCCAGCTCTATCCGACCAGCCCCAACCCCTCACCACAGCCCCCATCCCACCACCCCAAGCCCAGGGGTTCCTCACCGAGGTGACCTTGCGGTAGATCTGGGCAGCGTTCTGGCACTCAGAGTAGGGGTACTCTGAGGTGGCCATCTCCAGCATGCACATCCCGAAGGCGTAGACATCCACCGCCTCGTCGTACTTCTCCTCGTACATCTCCGGTGCCATGAACTCGGGGGTGCCTGGGGAGAGCAGTGGGCTCAGCACCCCCAGGGTGCCCACCTACCCACAGCCCCCGTGGCTGCGTTGGGACCCCACCTATGACGCTCTTGGCGAAGGAGGCTCTTTTAAGTGTGGCCAAGCCCAGGTCCCCGATCTTGACCGAGCCGGTGGGGCCGGTGATGAAGATGTTGTCGCACTTGAGGTCGCGGTGGATGATGGGGGGCGAGCGGGTGTGCAGGAAATGAAGCCCCTTGAGGATCTGCCGGCTCCAGCGCTGCAGCACCTTCAGCTTCATCTCCTTGAACCGCTTCAGGTAGCTGTGAGGAGATCCATGGGGCTGTCTCCAGCTCCCAGCCCTGCCCCGTCATCAGCCCAGGCCCCACCTGAGCCCACCACAGCCCATCATCCCCACATTAAGTGCCCAGGTGGGGGCTGCAGACCTGCCCCTCACCTCCCCGTCTCCGCAGGGACCCCGTCCCCTCCCCTGCACACCCTGACCTGGTCCCTGCTCACGTTTTCAGGGTGCCTGACGTCATGAGCTCTGTGATGAGCACGATGCAGATCTGCCCTTTGATGGACGACTTCCAGGAGTCGTAGAAGCGGACGATGTTGGGATGCTGCAGCCCCTTCAGCATCTCCACCTCCTCGCTGAACCGCTGCCGCTCCGTCTTCGACAGCTTCCGCGTCTGCGGGGGCCAGCGGGGAGGTGAGGGGGGCACACGGGGGTCCCCGGTGAGCACAGGGGGATGCCCTGGCTTACAAGAGATCCTCATGGCCCCATCCCCACTCCCTTACAAGAGATCCTCATGGCCCCATCCCCATTCCCTCACAAGAGATCCTCATGGCCCCATCCCCGCTCCCTTACAAGAGATCCTCATGTCCCCATCCCCACTCCCTACGTAAGAGGCAGCAGGGGCTGCTGTGGCCCCAGCACAGAGCCATGGTCAGACCTGCTGCTCCCCAGCACAGGGGCTCATGTGGGGCTGGGGCCATCCCAGTCCACGGTGTCACCCCACTCAGCCAGTCCCCACACCCTGTCCCTGCTCCGGCTGCTCTGGATGGAGCTGCTCTGCCCCGGTTTGGGGAGAAATGGCCAAAGTCTCCCACAACAGACCATGCTCTGAGAAGCCCATGTCCTCCCCTGCCAAAAAAGCCGCCCTGTGCCAGGGTCGCCCGTCCCTGCTCCGGCTCCTCATCATCCCCAGCTGGTGCCCACCACCCCTCTGCTGGACGGGGATGCCCAGCCTGCAGCCCCCCAGCTAAGAGGACGCTCTGCAGTGCCCATTGCCCACCCTGTGCAGCCCCCTCTGCCCCCCGGGACAGCCCTACCCCCCCGCTGGGGCACCACGGGCTCCAGCACCGGGCACCGGCATGGCAGGGTGCCGGGCCAGCTCAATGGGGCCTTTGTTGGGGAAAGCGGGCGGGGGAGGCTCCATGCAGGTTTTTCCATGTTCCTCCTGCTCGAGTTAATTAAAGTGGAAACCGAAGCCAAGCGCTGACACGGGCACTGAGTGGAGCTGGGGCTTGGGGCCAGCGGGGAGGACACAGGCCCCTCATCCTGGGGCGACACAGCCCCGTCACACAGGACGGGGGGAGCCGGCCAGACCCAGAAGAAGCCAGGTCCTGCCCCAACCCCGGGCAATTCCAAGCACCGAGCTCTGGACAAAGGCAGGGGCATCTCCTGCGATGACTCCACTGCAGCCCAGGACCCCAAAGGGCTCGGCCACTCCTCACCCTGGGGCCACCCAGTTGGGACCCCCATCCAGGGACCCGGAACTGCCGCAGGGGCCACCGTGCTCCCGCTGCCAGAGCCGAGCTCAGCTCCTTGGCTGGCGGCTGCCATCCATCAGCCTGGGCAGCTTTCGTAATATTTTCATTGCATCACGGCCGGCCCCACGGCCAGGCTGGAGCCGCTCCATAATCCCCTCTGCTTTTAACGCACGCTCGGGGACCCAGCTCAGCCCGGATGAGAACCTGAGCCCTGCTGCAGTTGGGATGAATGGGACCTTTCATTCCCGAGGAGGAAAACAGCAGCAGAAGCCCCTGCGCAGCCCAGCAGCACACCGGCTGCCCTGCCCCACACCACGGCCGCCCTCGGACCCCCCTGGCCCCCACTCCCCACTGAGGAGCCCAGAGGCTTCGCTGTGCCCCGCAAAGCTGGGAGGGCACGAGGGAAGCCAACACGGGCTACGAAAAGGGAGAGGGAGTCACAGGTGGCCACGGCTCTCCCAGTTTGGCAAAAGGGGACTGTGGTCATGGCAGTGCAGCCCCCGCCGTGCCACCCCCTGCCCCAGGTAACCCCGGCACGAGACCACCTCTTCCCAGGTGCCTGCAGCAAGGGATGGGGGAGCTGAGCTCACCCTCTGTCCCATGCCAGGACTGCTGGGCTCTCCCAGCACTGTTCCAAAGTGGCCACCAGCCCCATGGTCGGCTGGCCCGACACTCCCCACCGAGCACCAGCAGCGGGGAGCAGAGCCCCAGTCCGGCCCCAGATGGGGAGTGGGCAGCGGGGAGGGCAAGGCAGGGCAGGCAGTGCTGCCAAGCAGAGCCCCGCTGCCCTGCATGGCACGCAGGGACACGGTGTCCTTTCCGAGCAGCACCTCGTGCAGGGCAGAGGAGGACGCTGGTGATGGAGGCGAGGAGCTGGGTGGCAGCGGTCCAGCCCCATCCCAGCCAGGAGCTGGCTGTCGGGGAGCCCGGCACAGCCAGCAGCAGGAGCCAGGGCCAGCGTGGGAGGAGGGAGAGCTGGGCACGGTGGCCCACGGTGGCCTGTGCGAGCCCTGTTGTCGCACTGGGAAGGGAGACACTCGTGCACTGAAGGAAAATTCATAGTGACACCATGGGGGCAGGTGCTGGAGATCACCCTGTGCCCTCCCTCTGGCCATGACCACCTGAGCATCCCCCCCCAAAGGAGCCAGCACTATGGCAGCAGTGGGTGCCCGCACCCCACCCCTGCTCCCCGTGGGTCTGCCCCACACCGCCTGGCACTGACCTCTCGTGCACGCTCACGGGTGCTTGAGCTCACACTTGTGTTCCCAAACTCGCAGGGCCTCATCGAGCAAATCCCCCCGGTCTCCTTGGTCCCTCTCCTGGACATACGGAGCCCCCAGCCCCGAGGGGGGCTGAGCCCCGGGCGCTGCCCCAGGGTCTTGCCAGGCTCCATCACAGCGTGATTCCCAAACACAGCGCAGGCAGAGGGGGTGGGTAAGCGATGGACAAGATTTGGGGAAGAGGCAGGAATTTGGGAAGAAAGGTGCCCCACAGCCCCCAGTGCTGCCAGCCGAGGTGACCTGCCCGACCTGGGCAAGGGACTTGGGGGCCACGAAGCACCCACTGGCCAGACCTGAGGGGACCCACAGGAAAACCGCTCACGGGCAGGTATTTACAGCTCAATCCTGCTCCGGGCCTCCAGTTTCCTCCCTCTTTCCTCCTTCCCCGCCGCCCGCAGCACCTATCCACAGAAATAGTCCCAGTCTAAAGCTGGAAAGCACAAACAGGTCACGGCCAGGCTGCGGGACGCAGAGACAAACACCACATTCAAGACTGGGGGGCAGTGACACGGGGGGAACGGGGACGGGCAGGTCCCCAGAGGGGTCCCACAGGAAGGCAGGGGACAGGAAAAACGGCCTCCAGGTCGCCAGGCACAAGGGAGAGAAGGGCAGGGCGAGGACGGCACGGAGAGCTGGGATTTGGGATGGGGAACCATCACGGCAGCGGGATGAGGCTCTCTGGACCGGAACAGGTCAGGGCTGAGGTTAGGTATTCATTTAGAATTGAAAGGTAATAAAAGGAGAACTGTGAAAGACACAGGACAAAGCTATTTTTAAAAAGGGCAGAACCACAACCATTTTTATTTGCGGTTCCAAATCCCATATTTGTGTCACAGTGTCTGATTCTTTGCATGATTGCTGAAAAAACCAAAGTTTCAAAAGTCTGCTTCTGTGCTCTCGGCCCCTCGTGGGACGTGGATTTTGGGACAAGAGACACTGGATAAAGAGCTGTCAGTGGGACGGGGCCGAATGCCGGGTGG